TGGAGGAAACAGCTCTAGTCGTTTCAGTTGAGGAAAAAATGACCCAAAAAAATGCCCAAATATGGTAGTCACATGACTTCCATTGTTGCATTAAGAAATGGGGTCAAACCGGGGTCAGCTTTCCGACTGTTGGTATCTTCCGATGAACTTTTTTAGAAAAAGGTCGAGACGTCCTTTGACATAACCCTGGTTCATCAACTTTCTGATCAGACACTGGTGACGTTTTACAAAGTCTGAGTAGCGGTTGCAAGCTCTTGAATACCGAATGAGTTGGGCAATGTATATCCCATATGCAGGTGAAGTTGGTATATTGCTACTAAGGTGGGGGAAATTGATAATTTCAAAATTAAAGTCGTCTCGTTTGTCATAGATGCTGGTACTGAGATGATCGCTTATGTCAAATTCGAGGTATAAGTCTAAAAATGATGCGGAGGAAGCCGTGTCTGTTGTTTCTTTAATTTCTAGTTCTGGAGGATATATTAATGGTACCCAATCAGTAAAGGAAGACTGACAATCCTAATCAATTAAGATTCTATTAGAGTCAAAAATTGTAATTATAAGCTTTAAAAAATTGTTAATGTCATTGTCTATGCCCAAAACAACATATATATTTGTACCTTAATTTAGCTTTGGCGACTTTTTTGCAGCAAGGCAAAACAAAATGGAAAAGGGTTACTCACCGGCAATTACAGCTGTGAGTGTTAATGTGTAATGGTAACTGCCAAATAATAAGTCCATTTATAAGTAAAAGGGGGTAACGTTTGCTTACAAATCCATTTTTTGTTAAATTATTGATCCTTATAATTATGTGCAGTTTCATTTAAGGCCAATAAATTTTGTGACCATTGATTTCTCATATATTTAACACTTTCAGACTTGTCCATTTCACCCAAACGTGTCCTTAAAAACACAAATCTCCCAAACATGTCCAATTTCACATCCCAAAATGGTCCAGTTATTTACTTCGACAAAATGCGTCCGAACTTTTACTCTGCAAAACATGTCCTACAATTATTATTCGCCGAAAACTTGTGCACTTTATAAAAAATTTTGGCTCTAATATGTCCTCAGTATTAATGCAAAAATGTTTACGGCATTCAATGATAGGAGGGGGGACACGACTGAAGAAGTCATGTTTTGGTGATTTCTAAAAAAGATTATTAAAGCCGCTATCCAAGGACATCTAGAGAAAAAGTGTAGTGAGCCATATAGTCCAAGATGTGGTACATTGTGCATAGTGAAAGATGAAATCACTGACTTAAATTAATTTTCTGCTCATAAATTAATAGACACCAGATAAGAAAAAGAATATCACAATAAAATTTATCTTCAACTGCGAACTTTTATTAATTTTTTATCAATATGATATTATTGTTATAATCTTAGATAAAGGTATTTCACACTTAAAAAATCTTATACATTTTATCCTGCAAGTTTTCACTAGACTAGTTTTCTCAGTGCTTCAACTATTGATTAAGTGATCATTTAGTAGCATTAGTTTGTTCAAAGTCTAATCTCATTAAAATCAGCTGTTAGTTTAGAGGGAGTGTAGCATATCACAACATCGGATTTTAATCTGATTGTTCAATGTCGGTTGTTTTCATTTAGCATAATTGCAAATTCAATCTGCAACACATACATATACATTAACTCCTTGGTGTCCAGTGGCGAATATTTCATGCATATTTAGAGCCAACATAAAGATTGCAATCAGTTAGTTTTGTACAGTTTAATCCATTGTTTACAAAGTAAATTCTTTTATACTAATATACTGGAGTGATGCCTAAATATCTTAATGCATCAGGGTATTGCACGGACAGCTTCTTGCAGGAGTTGTTTCTGGGCTTTAAGATAGTTAGCTGTTCCATTTTTACAACAAAACAAAAGGAAGGTTCCTGTAATAATATGATTGAGCGTTCATAAAAGGGAGACGTTTTGGCTTCATATGGGCTATTTGTCAGTCTGTTGAATGATACTATATACATGTATGTGATGTTTTTATGTCAGATAATGTATTATGATAATTTGGTTCTTACATGTACTACCAAAGATGGTATCAGTACGTGCTCTGTATAAAAAATACTATCCAAAAATGTACCCAAAAATGTCAGGAGTGTAACGCTTTTAGTGTGACATTCACAAGAAAGCATGTGCTTTCATTGATGATATAAAATAAATAAGTGCAGATACAATACCAAACAATATCTCTCATCAAACTATTATATCTTGACTATGATTTCTTGTTCAATTCTTCCATCTATTTACATTTCTATGAACAGCATAAGGTAAGTCAAATAAATTTGTGTAGATAATAAAATGTCAGTAAAAGTCAATCTATTGCCAGAAAATGTCTTTGTAGGTGAAATAACATGTTTATCCACAGCTTGCATGTTTTATATTTTTTGTTAAGTATCATAGCTTGGCACAGGTGCTCCAGATGACCCTGAAGTTCTACTACTGGAATACTATGGTTACAATAAGAGGACTACCCAAGTTTGTCAGGAGTGTAACAATTGAGCTTAGATGTTATTTGTTTAAGAAACTATGTTGTTATTGTTGTTTTTTTTCTTGAATTTCAGTGAACACCACCTGTTGCAGATCATCAGTTACAAGCATGCTATGATCATACAAGACACTGACCAAGGTTTAAAGGAAAGTCATCTTTTTTTAGATAGTCCATTAGCCAAATTTGTAAATATGTAAGAAATCTTAAACCAGTTCTTAATGTGCACCAAAACTATGTGTTTAATATAAAGGCTCTACATGATTTCAGGTCAGTCTTAGGTTGAAATATGGAAGCAATAAATTATGGTTAGGAGTGTAAAAACATTTGTTACACTCCTGACCAGTTTCTGATGTAGCTTATCTAAAACAAAATTCAACACGACTCCTTTATTACAATAATTGTAACATCTTACAATGTAATAAGAAAGTCAGAGAATAGTCAATCTGTCTTGCAAAGTGACTGTTCTTGACATTTTTTTACCTAAGATTCTTACAAAATAAGAGTAATTCACATTAAACATGTTAAAAGTTAGCTTTTCATTCAGAAAGTTAAAAAAAAGTATAATCAAGTGTCTAATACAAAATGTAGGTTTATCTTTTTGTCAAATTGTAAATCTAAAATAGATATCACTACTGATTTTCTATACATTCCATTAAAAACAGTCTTACATTCTCAATTTTATTATAAGTTATTTAAAAAATATGTCAGGAGTGTAACAAAAGGATCAAAAACATATGTATTTTTTAACTGAAGAAAGCTTAAAATTGACTGAAGCAATTGATGTGAAATTTTCAGAGGATGTAATGAGATCATATATGTTTGATTTCTTATCAGCTTTAAATAAAGTTTAACCTTTTGCAATGAGATAAAAAAAAATTGTTATTAGAAATTAAAGAATAACTTTCAAAATTGGTGAAATTTACAAATTAAAAAAAATGCCTCAATATAAGAGTAAAAAATGGTAAAAAAATCAACTAACATCTTTAATTCAACAAATAATAAAAAGTTACATTATATTCATACTTATTTGTGTTTGTAAGTTGATTATTGTATGTTGTTGTTTCTTTGAATTAACTGTTAACACAGAGATATGTCTCGCCTTTTTGCAATTTTGATAATGTAAATGTTGAAATTAAAATAGCAATACTTTAACATGTAAGTTATGCAAATATTCGAAGTCAAAGAACCATGACTCTAGGTACATGGCTAAACAATCTCCATGGAAATGAGAATGTGCCAATGCTAATACAACTGCATACCAAATACCATTGACTTATCATAAGTCGTTCCCTTTTAACAAACCTAAACACAAACATGTAAACTTGTAAACTGTGTAAAAGTTTCAAAGTCAATGAATCATGATGAGGGGTGGGGCTATTTAATCTCCATGGAAACAAGACTTACAAATGCCAATAAATTTGCATACCAAATATCATTGACTTTACATTAGCTGTTCATATTTAACTGATCAAATCACAAACTAATACATGTCCACATTTCCATTCTCAATTTTAAGCAAAAGATTCAAAGTCAACAGACCATGACTGAGGAGGCTGCGCCAAATATTCTCCATGGAAATTTATTGTGCTAATACTTATACAACTGCATACCAATAAACTTTGGCCTACCACTAAGGGTTCTCCTTGAACTGACCTAATCACAAACTAATACATGTAAACTAGGCAAAAGTTTCAGTCAATAGACCATGAATGAGGGGGCGGAGCCAAATAATCTCCATGGAAATGAGATATGCCAATGCTATACAACAGCATACCAAATATCATTGACCTACCACTAGTGGTTCCCCATAAACTGACCTAATCATAAACTAATACATGTAAACTAAGCAAAAGTTTCAAACTCAATAGACCATGACTGAGGGGGCAGGGACAAATAATCTCCATGGAAATGAGATGTGCCAATGTTAATACAACTGCATACCAAATATTCACCATAAACTAGACCTAATCACAAACTAATACATTGTTGACGCCGCCGCCGACGCCGGAAACAGCATACCTATGTCTCGCTTTTTGACTCCGTCAAGGCGAGCATAAATCGATGAATTCTTATAAGTAAAATGTTTTAAAAATATTTGTTTTCACTTTTTTTCCTTACCCCCTGGTAGTTTTGTAAACTTGAATGTCTCTGGATTATAGTAGAATGGTAGAAAATAGATTTGCAATGACTTAATTTTTTACCATTTTTGTCACACTTTGTCATCATTTTTGTCGAGCCTTCGACTTTAGTCGAAAAAGCGAGACATAGCGATCCTACATTCCGTCGTCGTCGTCGTCGTCGTCGTCGTCGTCGGCGGCGTCAACAAATATTCACTCTGTGGTTAAAGTTTTTGAAATTTTAATAACTTTCTTAAACTATCCTAGATTTCTACCAAACTTGAACAGAAGCTTGTTTATGATCATAAGATAGTATCAAGAAGTAAATTTTGTAAAAATAAAATTCCATTTTTTTCCGTATTTTGCTTATAAATGGACTTAGTTTTCTGCCGGGAAATATTACTTTCACTCTGTGGTTAAAAGTTTTTAAAATTTAAATAACTTTCTTAAACTATCCTGAGTTTGTACCAAACTTGGACAGAAGCTTGTTTATGATCATAAGATAGTATCCAGAAGTAAATTTTGTAAAAAAATAAATCCATTTTTTCCTTATTTTACTTTTAAATGGACTTAGATTTTCTGCCAGGAAACAACACATTCACTCTGTGGTTAAAGTTTTTAAAATTTTAATAACTTTCTTATACTATTTTGGATTTGTACCAAACTTCGACAGAAGCTTGTTTATGGTCAAAAGCTAGTATCTAGAAGGAAATTTTGTAAAAAAATAAATCCATTTTTTCCGTATTTTACTTTTAAATGGACTTAGATTTTCTGCCAGGAAACAACACATTCACTCTGTGGTTAAAGTTTTTAAAATTTTAATAAAGTTCTTATACTATTTTGGATTTGTACCAAACTTGGACAGAAGCTTGTTTATGTTCAAATGCTAGTATCTAGAAGGAAATTTTGTTTTCTTCCAGTTAACGTTACATTGAGTCTGCAGTTAAAGTTTTTAAACATTTATTAGATTCATAAACTATCCTGGATTTTTACCAAACATGGACAGAAGCTTCTTACAATCAAAAGATAGTACCAAGAGGAATATTTTTTTGATTTACTTCCTCATTTTTGTTGAGCCTGTGATTAACAGAAAAAGTAGGCGAGACACTGGGTTCCGCGGAACCCTTACGATTTTTTTTTTAAATAGCCCATATGGATCGTTTCGGAGATCGGCCTCGTTTTGGCATTCAAAAAAAGGACACTTTTTTGGTGTTGACGTCTGACATATATAAATATGTTTACGGGGATGGACATGTTTCTGAGTGTTACATACATATTACTCCTTATAATACTTGGGAGAACTCAATTTGCACTTTAAAAATGCATGTAGTTTATACATAATAATGAAGGGAATCAAAAAGCAATACAAAAATTATATGCAACCATATATATATATGTATTTTTGCTTTATTTTACTTCATTAATTATTTTTTGTAAATATGCAATGCATGCAGCAGTAATTAATTATTATCAGCCTGCTTGATGGTACATGTATGTATGTTGTATAAATGAATGTCAAGTATTAAATGGAATTAAGAATGGAAATGGGGAATGTGTCAAAGAGACAACAACCCGACCAAAATTGTCAGTTATTTATGAGTTTTGTTTTAATTACCTTCCAGTGTCATGTATTGTCATGTCGGCCAATTATTTATTAATTTTATATCATTCATTAAAAACAGAAGTCCATTACTAGACTCTAGTAATGGACTTCTGTTAAAAAGTATTATTTACTGTTATTTTGTTACTTTCGACCATATGTTAAGTACATGTTATACGATTAGTCTTTACACAATGTATTTGTGTTTGCATGCTTTAAAAAAATATTTATCAAACCACTTTAAATGACTTTACACTCATCAATGTGAAATGCCGGTCCAAAATCGGATAAGACGGAATAGGGAAGTCATTGTTTTTCATTAAAATAAATTGGCGCAATCGTATACTTTATTTTTGGCGCAAATGATACTATAGGCATGTTGAAAACTAGCAGCATTCGCGGCATCGCGCAACTGTTTTGTGACGCAAAAGGGCGCATTTTAGGCGCAAACGGATTTCTCTCGTAATTTCCATGCTCCAATTAAGATCTCACTGAAATCAAACAGCTACATGCATAATGTCTACACGTGTGTATTTATCATAATTTATGTGGTCAAGTGTATCACCTGTATTTATTCTCATTCAAGATACGGTTTATCTCATGTATGATGACTATCCATTGTGTGAATTCTCATGTGTGGACATGTTATCTAACTGTATGTATTCTCAACTATGATGTGTATATCACGTACTTGTGTGATCATGTTTCTCCAAGTAAGACATCCAATTTGTGGATATGGTTATCAACTGTATATATTCTCAAATGTGATCAGGGTGATGTCCAACATCTGCATGTATTGTTATGACTTTTATCGTGTACTTTTAATTTGCTATTATGCCGGATGGTAAGCTTGTTCACTCACATCACATAACTAAGCAGTGTTTACATATGTGTTCTCAAGTGTTGTTGAAACTTTCTATTTTCGATAAACTCTTTCCCACATACCTCACATACAAAATGGGTTTCCTTGTTGTGATTTCTCAAGTGTTGTTGAAACTTTCTATTTCCGATACACTCTTGCCCACATACTTCACATACAAAATGGGTTTCCTCAGTATGGTTTCTCAAGTGATTCAACAAGTTTCCATTTTTAGTGAATATTTTACTACACAGGTGACATGCGTAAGATTTAAGGTCAGTGTGGGTTTGCATGTGTTTTCTTAAGTAACCATTTCGAGCAAAAACTTTACTACATATGTTACATTTATGTGGTTTATCATCGGTATGGGTACTCATGTGTTTTTTGACTTGGTAATTGTGACTAAAATCTTTACCACAAATTTCACATTTATAAGGCTTTTCTCCTGTGTGCAGTTTGGTATGGCTCATTAAGTTTGACTTCTCCGTGAATTGTTTATCACAGACATCACATTTGTACGGTTTTTCACCTGTATGAGTTCGCACGTGTTTCGTTAAGTCACCACTTCGACTAAAGCCTTTGTCACATACATGACATGTGTATGGTTTTTCACCAGTGTGTATTCTCATGTGTTTTTTAAGATCACTGCTATAATAGAATTGTCTACTACACATGTTGCACTTAAACTGTTTATTGACAGCTGTATGTATTCTGGAGTGTTTTTTCAAGTCGCTGTGTACACCAAATGTTTTACCACAGACGTCACAAGTATGTGGTTTATCTCCAGTATGTTTTCGCTGATGTCTAAGAAGGCCTTCACCACAATGATTACATTTATAAGGTTTATCATCGGTATGCTGACTCATATGTACTTGTTGGTGTCCAAATTGATTAAAACGTTTACCACACACATCACATTTGTATGGCTTGTCACCGGTGTGTATTCTAATATGTACGTGTAAACCTCTCTGTCGACTAAATAGTTTACCACATACATCACATCTATAAGGCTTGTCACCTGTATGTATTTTATTATGTTCCCGTAAACTCCCACTATGTTTAAACCTTTTACCACACACATCACATTTATATGGTTTATCACCTGTGTGTACTCTCATGTGTATCTTTAAGGAAGAACTTTCTGTAAACTCTTTAAAACATAAATCACATTTATAAGGTTTTTCGTTAGTGTGTAATCTCTTGTGTATTTTTATATAGTCCAATCGACTGAAACTTTTCCAACATATATCACATTTATAAGGTTTTTCGCCAGTATGTGTTTTCTTGTGTCTTTGTAATCCATTATCGGTTGTAAAATATTTACCACACAGAGTACATTTGAACGGTTTATTTCCAGTATGTGATCTCAAGTGTGATTTTAAACCCCAAGACTGGCTAAACGATGTATGACATACATTACACGTATACGGTTTCTCACCAGTATGTGTTCTTTTGTGTTTTTGTAGGCCACTACTCTCACTGAACTCTTTATCACAACTGTTACATTTATAAGGCTTCACACCCGTATGTGTTCTCATATGCACTTTAAACCGTTTAGATCGAACCCCTTTACCACATATATCACATGTCGTATGGAGGTGATCACTAGTGTGTGAATTCCTGTGGTAGTTAAGGCTGTTTTTAGTAGTAAACACTTTAAAACATATACTACATTTATAAGGCTTCTCACCTGTATGCATTCTCATATGACTTTTAATGTGGTTTTTCTGACTAAATCTTTTCAAACATATACTACATTGATGAGGTTTATCACCGACATGCGTTATCTTGTGTATCCTTACATAACTGCTAGTAGTAAAACATTTACCGCATACATTACACTTGTACGGTTTCTCACCAGTATGTATTCTCATGTGTGTCTGGAGTGTACCAGATTGTCCAAACCTGCCACCACACATGTCACATTTGTAAGGTTTATCGACTTTGTGTATTCTCATATGTATTTGAAGGCTATTTTTTTTAGTGAATTCTTTGCCACATTCATTGACATTTTGCACATTTGCATACTTTCTCGTCCATTATTTCAATGATGATAATAATAACCCGACTTATTCCTTTTTCTGTGTCTCTAAGACAAAAGCAACTTGTAACCTGGTCTTTGCATACAAATGGGGTTTTACTGAAGTTTGATCTTACCTACAAATAAACGTAGACTATTAGATTAATTCTTTACTCTATGGATATCAGTATTTATGACCTCATATGTCAGAATATGTTTCATTGATCAAATATAATTGTGACACTTTCATGACTTTATCCTTAAGAAGGGATCGTGGTGGAGCAGTACAACATAAGACCAAACTGTAGAACTCATTTGGAAAGGGCTGATCAGATCGATATTCTACCCTGACTATTTATTATGGTTATTAGCCGGCTAGTCTTTGCTCTAACACATAAATGTACTAAGCTTGTTTGGTGGATAAGCAGCATATACCAATTTTCAAGTCTTTGGGTTGACCCGGCTGGTGATCGAATCCACGACCTCACTTACTAGAGGCGAGTACGCCTCCACAATACTAGCGAGCCTGTACACGTGACACTACTAATAAGATCTCCTACAGTTGTAAGTTATAATGGCTACATTATACTAGTCAACAAACAATTCAAAAACACGATACACGATTACTTTTTTTTAATTTTTCGTTTTTGTTTAATTAGAAATGGTTCTTTGTATATATATGGAAAAACTAATAAGTGCACCCTTACACAAACCCCATTAAAGGCATTGTCAGTAAGTGTACTCTTAAACAAACCACGTTAAAGGCATTGTCAATAAGTGTACTCGTACGCACAAAAACACTTTAAAGGTATTGTCAGAAGTTTACCCTTACACAAACCACGTGCACGTTAAAGGCATTGCCAGTAAGTATACCCTAACACAAACTTCTCTAAAGGCATTGTCAGTAAGTGTACCCGTACCCAAACCACGTTAAAAACATTGTTAGCAAGTGTACCCTTACACAAACCACATTAATGGCATAGTCAGTAAGTATACTCTGACACAAACCACGTTGAAGGCATTGTCAGTAAGTGCACTGTTACACACAAACCACGTTAAAGGCAGTCAGAAGTGTACCCTTACATAAACCAAGTTAAAGGCATTGTCAGTAAGTGCACCCTTTCACAAACCACATTGAAGGCATAGTCAGTAAATATACAGTTACACATAAACCATGTTAAAGGCATAGTCAGAAGTGTACCTTTACATAAACCACGTTAAAGCATTGTCAATAAGTGTACCCTTACATAAACCACGATAAAGGCATTGTCAATAAGTGTACTCTTACATAAACCACAGTAAAGGCATTGTCAATAAGTATACCCTTTCCAGAACCACGATAAAGGCATTGTCAATAAGTGTACCCTTACACAAACCACGTTAAAGGCATTGTCAATAAGTGTACCTTTACACAAACCACGTTAAAGGCATTGTCAATAAGTGTACCTTTACACAAACCCCGTTAAAGGCATTGTCAATAAGTGTACCTTTACACAAACCCCGTTAAAGGCATTGTCAATAAGTGTACCTTTTTTACAAACCACGTTAAAGGCATTGTCAATAAGTGTACCTTTACACAAACCACGTTATAGGCATTGTCAATAAGTGTACCTTTACACAAATCACGGTAAAAGGCATTGTTATTACTATGCAACTATGCAATGTTGGGATCAATATAACGTTTCTGCATGAAAACATCAACTTATGAGTGGTGTCACCTTACGGTATATCTAGGTTTTAACCAGGGTGAAGGGGTCAAAATAGAAAAGTGCGGTAGAATTTTTTAAGTGGAGGAATATTTAAATCATTTCATTTGCTTAATTCGCCTGTGTGAAAAACAAGGTGGATGCATAGAAAAATATGTCACATGTCACAACTTTTTTAATCTCTACATTGAAACAACAATAATCTCGGAGCTCTCTCATTGTTGATGATCCTTTCTTTTATGGTTATCTATTTATTATGATTTATTTTTATCCTGCAATCGACCTCTCTACTATACAAATACAGGTTAGCAGATAAAACGAAGCGATAAACGTATAATGTACGTTTATAGCCTCCTGGTATCTTGTTTCTGTTGCAAGCTAACGGTTATGTTAAAACTATTGTTTACAAAACAGTTCAGTTGGGAATCATCATCGCGGTCGGCGTTTAATATGGCATGGTATTGGTTGCAAAATTTGATATTTTTCATTTAAATGCAATATTTCTTATTTAATTGGTATATTTCTTCATTTAAATGCAATATTTTTTTATTTGAATGGTATATTTTTTCATTTAAATGCAATATTTTTTATTCAAATGGTATAATTTTTCATTCAAATGGTATAATTTTTCATTCAAATGGTATAATTTTCATTCAAATGCAATAGTTTTTATTCAATTGGTATAAAATGTCATTTGAATGCAATATTTTTTATTCAATTGGTATAGTAGGTTTTTATTTATATGCAATAATTGCATTATGGGAAATTCTTTGACGTCATAAGGTCAAATTCGCAACAACGTTTGTGATTGGTCGGAATTTGTTTGGATTTCTCCCCTTTCTTTCTAAACATGGATGACCAAGAATTAAAAAACGCGTCAGAATATCGCCCCTCTAACTAAATCTAACGTTTGTGCGAGTCCTGCACTGGCTGTTAAAATCTTGTGGTCATAACTATAGTATTTCTATTGCAAAATTTCGATGGTCAAAACGTTCGGTCCATTTTTCAAAAAACGTTTCATTGTATATGGATTTATATGCAAGTATATCGGTTTTTTCTAAATAGATTAGACACCGTTGGTTTTCCCCTTTGAATGGTTTTACACTACTAATTTTTGGGGCCCTTTATAGCTTGCTGTTCGGTTTGAGCCAAGGCTCCGTGTTGAAGACCGTACGTTGACCTTTAATGGTTTACATTTACAAATTATGACTTGGATGGAGAGTTGTCTCATCGGCACTCATACCACATCTTCTTATATCTATATACAACGTAAACCAGACGTTTCTCAGACTGTTTTATTTTTTTAGTAAATCCTTTGCCGCGCGTTGTGTACTGATTGATAACTCAGTCTGGGAGAACACGATTTATTTCAGTACCAGTTGTAATTAGGTTTGAGCAAACTTCCAGTAATTGCAAATACTCTTATGTCGGTGCTTTGTGTCTATTGTCTTAATGTTAGTTTTTTTTTGTGTGTCTCGTACCGATCTTTTAAGTTAATTTGCTGATTTGTGCAGATTGTTATTTTATTGTACTGTTACACCACTGTCCCAGCTTCGGGATGGGTTGCTCACAAACATGTTGTTGTACTGTTACACCGCTGTCCCAGATTAGGGGGAGGATTGGGATCCCGCTAACATCTTTAACCCCGCTACATTCTGTATGTATGTGCTTGTCCTAAGTCAGGAGCCTGTAATTCAGTGGTTGCCGTTTGTTGCTTTGTTATACATATTTGTGTTTCGTTCATTTTTTTGTACATTAATTCGGCCGTTAGTTTTCTCGATTGAATTGTTTTACATTTTTGATTTCGGGGCCTTTTATAGCTGACTATGCGGTGTAGGCTTTGCTTATTGTCGAAGGCCGTACGGTGACTTATAGCTGTTGATTTCTGTGTCATTTGATCTCTTGTGGAGAGTTGTCTCATTTGCAATCATACCACATCTTCGTTTTTATATCCACCCTGCCATATTCTTTATTTGCCTGTCCCAGGGATGGAGCCTGTAGTTTAGTGGTTGTCGTTGGTTCCTGTCTCGGCTCATATTTGATATTTTGTAAATAAATTGTTTTGTTATGTATAATTAGGCTGTTAGTTTTTTCGTTTGAATTGTTCACACTTTTCATGTCGGGCCATTTATAGACGACT